GTTCATGGACGGATTTTCTAGGTATAATCAAATAAGGATGGCTCCTGAGGACATGGAAAAAACAACGTTTATCACACCCTGGGGAACATTCTATTACAGAGTGATGCCCTTCGGGTTGAAGAACGCCGGTGCAACGTACCAGAGGGTTATAACAACCCTATTCCATGATCCGATGCACAAGGAAATTGAGGTATATGTTGATGATATGATTGCTAAATCCTAGACTGAAGAAGGGCATGTAGAAGATTTGTTGAAATTATTTCAGCGTTTGAGGAAGTATCGTCTCCGCTTGAATCCAAATAAATGTACCTTCGGTGTTCGATCAGGGAAATTGTTGGGTTTCATTGTTAGCCAGAGGTGGATTGAAGTTGACCCTGATAAAGTCAAAGAAATACAAGAAATGCCTGCATCGAGAACTGAAAAGCAAGTCAGAGGGTTCCTCGAGCGTTTGAATTATATCTCCAAATTCATTTCCCACATGACTGCAACTTGTGAACCGATCTTTAAGTTGTTAAATAAAGATCAAGGTTGTGTATGGACAGATGACTGCCAAAAGGAATTTGAAAGTATTAAAGAATATCTCCTTGAACCTCCTATCTTGCCCCCTCCTGTTGAAGGAAGACCATTGATTATGTATCTGACAGTGTTAGATAATTCCACGGGCTGTATTCTGGGACAACAAGATAAATAGGGAAGCAAGAGTATGGCATTTATTATCTCAGTAAAAAGTTTACTGATTGTGAGTCGCAGTATTCCATGCTGGAAAAGACATGTTGTGCTCTAGAATGGGCGGTAAAACGTTTGCGGTAGTATATGTTGAATCACACTACTTGGTTGATCTCCAAAATGGATCCAATCAAGTACATTTTCGAAAAGCATGCTCTTACTGGGAGAATTGTCTGCTGGCAGATGCTGTTATCTGAATATGACATCGAATACCGCACTCAAAAAGATATCAAAAGCAGCGTGTTGGCAGATTATCTTGCTCACCAACCAGTTGATGATTATCAGTCTGTGGAGTATGATTTCCTCGATTAGGATGTGATGTTTCTGAAAGTGAAATATTTTGATGAACCATTTCCTGAGGAAGGTCCTGATCCTGAATCTCGCTGGAGTATGATATTCGATGGAGCTGTGAATGCTTATGGTAAAGGAATTGGTGCTATGATTGTCACTCCACATGGGTCACACATTTCTTTTACTACAAGGTTGACATTTGATTATACTAATAATATGGCAGAGTATGAGGCTTGCATCACGGGTCTCGAGGAAGCTATTGATCTCAGAATTAAAATTCTTGATGTGTATGGAGATTCAGCTTTGGTAATAAATCAGATTAAAGGAGAGTGGGATACTCATCACCCCGGCTTGATCCCTTACAAAGATTATGCTAGAAGATTGTTACCCTTCTTTAATAAAGTTGAATTCCATCACATCCCCAGAGACGAAAATCAAATGGCGGATGATCTGGTAACTCTGGCTTCTATGTATCAAGTGAATACTTGGAATGATATACCTCGAATTATAGTTTGGCGACTGGATAGGCCTGCTCATGTGTTTACAACAAAAGATGTGGCAGATGAGAAACCTTGGTATTATGATATCAAGCATTTTCTGCAGACTCGGGAATACCTGATTGGTGCTTTGAATAAAGATAGAAAGACATTGAGAAGATTGGCTGGCAGTTTCTTCCTCAGTGAAAATGTGTTGTACAAGAGAAATTACGACATGGTCTTGCTCATATGCGTGGATAGACACGAAGAAGACATGTTGATGTATGAGATTCATGAAGGTTCATTTGGCACTCATGCCAATGGACATTTGATGGCTAAAAATATGCTAAGTGCAGGTTACTATTGGCTGACAATGGAATCTGGTTGTTACAAACTTGCAAAGAAGTGCCATAAATTCCAGATTTATGCGGACAAGATTCATGTGCCTCCGACACTTCTAAATGTTATTTCCTCCCCGTGGCCTTTCTCTATATGGGGTATTGACATGATTGGGATGATAGAACCCAAAGCTTCGAATGGACACCGTTTTATTTTGGTAGCAATTGATTACTTCACCAAATGGGTTGAAGCTGCTTCATATGCTAATGTTACTAAGCAGGTGGTAGTGCGCTTCATTAAGAATAATCTCATATGTTGATATGGTGTGCCGAGCAGAATTATCACCAACAATAGCTCGAATCTGAACAACAAGATGATGACAGAACTGTGTGAAGAATTCAAGATTGTCCATCACAATTCATCTCCGTACAGGACGAAGATGAATGGGGCTGTTGAAGTTGCTAATAAGAATATCAAGAAGATCATCCAGAAGATGGTTGTTACTTATAAAGATTGGCATGAAATGCTCCCCTTTGCTTTACATGGATATCGAGCATCTGTCCGCACTTCAACAGGAGCAACCCCGTTCTCCCTTGTGTATGGAATGGAAATTGTACTCCCAATCGAGGTTGAAATTCCCTCTTTGCGTGTGATAATAGAAACCAAGTTGTCAGAGGCTGAATGGGTCCAGAACAGGTTTGACCAATTGAATTTGATAGAAGAGAAGAGAATGACGGCTTTGTGTCATGGGCAGTTATATTAGAAGAGAATGAAGAAATATTTTGATAAGAAGGTCAAACCTCATGAATTCAGAGAAGGCGACCTCGTGCTCAGGAAGATCATGTCTTTTAATGCTGATTCTAGGGGCAAATGGACTCCCAATTTTGAAGGCCCATATGTTGTTAAGAAAGCCTTCTCTGATGGTGCATTAATTCTTGAAACTATGGATGGTGAGGAATTCCCACGTCCCATGAATGCTGATGCAGTCAAGAAACACTTCGCCTAAAGAAATAAAAGAACAACTCGCTAAGTTGAAAACTTGAAAGGGCAGCTTAGGAAAAAAAGAGCGTCTCGGTAGGCCGAAAACCCAAAAGGGTGGTCTAGGCAAAAATTAGAGACATAAACCGAATAAAATTTTCCGCTAAGTTGAAAACCCGCAAGGGCATCTTAGGCAAAAGTTAGGGACTTTCTTGGCAAGTAACTACATCAGACAAGACTTGATCATTGAAACAACAATCTTCTTGGGTCCTCACCATACTTCAACAGGAGTTTCTGCTCAAGATTTCAAAGTTGTTAGAAGGAATAGTGGTCATTGTATCTCAATGTATCTTTTCATTATATATTACCATTTTCCAAACTTTGTAATTATCCATGGAGTCTCTCCATTCGCTACTCCCATTATATCAATAAAATTTGAGCTTTTACCCAATTCTTTGTATTTCTTATTTTATTCCGCTTATAAAGACTCCATTTATAATTGATAATAATTTTCAAAGTGAAAAGATTAAATAACAAAATTTGTTTTTCAAAAAAGAATTTACAACTTACTTTTACTTTAGATTTCATGATTCAAGAGGAAAACAGAGATGGTGATCCCAGGAATGGACGAACTCCTGTAATTTTGAGAAGTTTTGTTTTCCCCGGGAAGGTTTTCTCAAGTTGTTTTCGCTGGTACGCGCGTGTTTATTGTATACTGAAGACAATACCAATTGACGTAAGGTGTGTCATACCCCAATTTTTTTACCTAAGATCCCATTTTTATTTTTTTACATTTTTGTACAAAAGTCAAGGTCACTAAATATATTCGGTTTTAACCTCTCACCTTCGAGCATTGACTAGGAAGAAATTTTCAAGTATTTTGAACATTTTTAGCCTATGTATCACTAACTTCTAATCGCATATACAGGTGTATGTTCGTGTTTTCTTTTGTTTCATGTGCAGAGACAGGTCTGAATCAAGAGCATCAGGCGTCGCGACTCAATTAGGGTTTTGAGTCTCCCAAGCCAGAAGTACGATTGATTGTCGATTTCGAAGATTGATTCATCAAGGAACAACCTATAATCTCAGAGCATAGACTCTCAAGCATCGTTTGATCTCATTTTGATCAAAGATGTCTTATAGAATTTCAGAGGATCGAGTATTTATTTCCACGCCTTGTTCGAGAAGTGGTTTTTAAGCTACCCAAGATAATGTTAAGACGCGGATCACCATTCAACCACTTGAGGGTGTTTTTGTAATTAATCTTGTAAACCATGGTCATCATTTAGCAAAGATGTTTGAGATGTTTTGGTGATGATAGTAGCTACATATGCTAATTTTAAATCTTCTCGGAGTTCTCTTTGGATTACCTTGGTATTTTGGAAGTGGCTACATATGTTTACTAGAGTCAGCCACTTCATGGTCCTTGATTTGATTGAATTTGGAGTTCAACAATACAAAGAATAGATCTTTTGTGCTGATTGTGATTCAATACAGATATTCACACCAGATCAAAATTATACGCACTAAGGCTTTTCCACCGATTGACAATAGGTAAACCTCCTTTATGATTCGCCTTTAACTAGCAATAACAACGAGAACCAATGGTTGGTGTTCATGACCAAGTTTGGAATTTTGGATGGAAATAACTCCATAAAATTACCTAGAAAGCTTGAGATTTATAATCATGCAATTACTAACACAACAAAAGTACTTGAGAAAAATAAAACTGATATTACAAAATTTAACACTTGAGTGAAACTTAAAGGTATGATCTATGTCGTCAACTATCAAATAAAGTTTGGCAGTTTTATTATCCAAAGGTCCTTCTGCTAAGAATACAATTTCTATGATGAAGACGACTCCCTGCTCAAATAGTCCTTTACAGTCCTAAAACTATGTAAGATCTGTCCAAAACCAGCCTATGTTGCAGCAGTCAAACTAGTCCTGCTATGCTGTCCAAATTTTGCACAAGAATGGAAAGCTTCAGCCTGCACCAAAAAGCAATAAAACAGTTATAATAAAACCAACTTTCACATCCAATTCCCCCCACCCCAATTTACTCATTTTCATTCACGATATATACAAAAATTAGAGGGAGAGAGAAGGAGATACAACAAAAAATATAAAGAACAAAGAGGAAATTTGTGTGATACCTCCAAAAAACTATCACTGCAATCTCCTCAACAAATGTTGTCAAGGTCATTTCTCGCAATGGATATTTATGCAAAGCTTGTATTCTCAATCTTGGAGGGATCAAGCAAACCTTTTCTTCTCTCCAAGACTCTAGCAGTTACTGTCATATTTATTGTAAAAGATGCAGAGAAGAAGAAGATGTTGATTGGATTTGCCAATGCATTTCGTGCTCTCCTACCCCTCAAAGCTCCTGGATTCAATTTTTCTTGGCTTGAGTTGGATAGTCACAGGATCCTCATGCCAAAAATGTTGATTGGTAATTTTCAAAAGACCACCATAAATGCAACAACACCAGCATATGCAATCGGAACAACAACAACTTCCATAACTGCAACAGTCGCAACAGCTTTCCCAGCTTCAACACAAAATTCCACAAATCTAGCAAAATCACTAGCCTTTGTCTCTCAAACAACAGATAGAAAATTTCAAAAAAAGAGTTCATGATAAAAATCAGTGGAGAGGAAAAGAGTGTTATCAGGAAGCTTATTATCATCTCATAAAAATTTCGAATACTTACTTCTTTGAAGCCTCATCGGAAGGACTCCGACTCAGTAAAATTTTACTTTTTCCTTTGATTTTATTCCCTGTACTGCATTCGTAATTCTAGATTTTTTTCCCAAACCTTCGCTGTTGTCACTGAGAGAAGAGGATTTGTTGTTGTTTTATGTTCGAGATTCATTTCCTCTTCCCATTAATTCAACTGCGAGTACTCCTTCTGTTTCTCCATAGACCACCCATCAACACAACCAACCGATAACAACCATCCACTGTTAAACCCAACCTCTTCGACTTCCGTCACCCCAAATCTCTGACAATCTCCCTTTCAACAATACTTGCAGCTACATCTCTCTCCCCGCCAATAATCTCCACCACCATTAACCTGCAGTTACGAAGAAACAACATATTCATCAACATTTGTGATTCGTGATCCAACCTCAAGCACGCACATAAACACATAATAAAGAAAGAGATGGAGTAGAGAGAATAGGAATAAAATAAATAAAGAATCAATACGCATACCGGAAGCTGTATCTCGCTGATGCGGGAACCAAATCGCCAGACTAGCTCTGGCTTGGAATTTTCTTTAGCTCATTTTCTTTACCTAAATCTTTATACCATTTTGTTTCTCTTGAGTTGCTAAATCAAACCCCTTTACTTTTTTTTAGGATTCCCTTTTCATGAGGCATTTGATTTGAGATTTAGGGTTCCATATTTTACCCTCCGATTTGTGTATTTCAGAGTGTTTCATGAGAAATTGGTAAGAGAATGAGAGAGAAGGAAATGTGAGAGTGAGAAGTGATGATTTGAAATAGAGAAATAGAGGGAGATATTTCTAAGAACAGATGGATCGTTTGTTGAGCATTCCTTTTTTCTCTTTCACGTTCAGGCAATAAAAGAGGTGTTGTGCGTTATTTTAAATTTACCCGTGAATGTTTAGCAGAGTGGGTTGAATCTGGACCCAACCCGGTCCGGCCCAACAAGAACTTTTTTTTTGGTTATTTGTTCTTGTAGAATTTGGGCTTTAACATCAATTCTAACAGCCCAGTCCTGAATTTCCTGATACTCACCCCCCCCCAATTTTTAGTTTCACTCCTCTTTCATAAATAATTTAGTTTAAATTTAGATTAGTAATCTTAAAATTAATTTTTTTTTAAGTTAGTATTTTTATTATTAATATAGGTTAGATTAAATTAGTAGCTTTATAATTAATTTAGTTTATACTTAAATTAGCTTAAATGTAATGTTAGCAATTTTTTAGGATTAATTTAGTTTAGATTAGTATTTTTATAATAGTTTAAATAAAAATCAGAATTTTATAATTAACTTAGTTTACATTTAAATTAGTTTAGATATAATTTAGAAATTTTATAGCTTTAATAACTTTAGAATTTCTATTTAGATTTCATTTAATAACTTTAGAATTTCTATTTAGATTTAATTTAGTAATTTTAGAATTTTATTTTATTTAGATTTAGTTTAGTAACTTTGGAATTTTTATTTGTTTTAGATTTAACTTAGTAACCTTAGAATTTTAATTTAGTTTAGAATTAATTTACTAATATTAAATTTTTAATTTAGTTTAGATCTAATTTAGTAATTTTATAACCTTAAAATTTGTAATTAGTTTAGGATTATTTTAGTAAGTAATGTTAGAATTTTAACTTAGATAATTAGTTCCATTCTCTTCTATTTATATTTAAATATCTTCGTCCTTTTAATTTTTCGGTACCTTTTAGTCATTAATCAGTTTCTTTGAATTTATTTTTTTATGAATTTTCCGAATACTTATATTTTGATGTCCATTTTACTTCATTCGCTTGATTTATTCCAAGGGAAAGAATCAGTTTGTTGACTTCATGTCATCAAATACGATTGTGCGAATCCCTTCATTTATTTTTATTTTACTATTTTGTTAATCTTAAGTTAATTTTTCTACCAATCAATTTTTAACCTCACACACTTTTTTTAAGCCAAAAATTCGACACTAGGTCGTCGTATCTTCAAAATCTCGTCCACACCCATTTTGACCAAACAAACCATTTTAATCAAACAAACAATTTTTAACCAAAAACAGATATTTCAAAAGGTTCTTGCGGAGTACCGCATATGCATTGGTTGCCAATACCTTCCTATTGCATAACCAATCCCCGAACTCTAGATCTCTTTTCGAAAATGCATTGTATTTTCATCACTTTTAAGTATTATTTTACATTGCATATTTTAGGGTTTTATTTCACTCTTTTCCCTTTTCCCTTGGAAATAATAAAGTGCGGTGGCGACTCTTGCTTTTGCGAGTCGAGTCAATTAATAGCTCGATCTCCGATTTTCACCGCTATAGAATTGGCGACTCTGCTGGGGAAATGATTGACCTCTTGCTGGTCTATCCCTAAGTGGGTTAAGCCTAATTTGTCAAATCTGTCTTTTATTTATTATTGTTTGTTTGTTTGATTATATGTGATATATTATGGTTATTTGGGTGTTGTTGATATTTACAAAGGATAAGTCATATACCCGAACTAAGTTACAGTTAGGAATACGAAGGGTGGTATAGTCATGTTAACTTTGAGGGAGTAATCCCGAAGAAGGAGGCATGAAATCCCCCACTCAGTGGAAGCCCCTTTGAACGTAGTATTTATTTACCGAGTAATCAGGAAGACATTATTGCTTTTGACCTGGGAGCCAGAGAAGCTGAGAACCATAGAACCCTTAACACATCTTGGTCTCTTAGGTGTAGTGCGGAGACTATAACGGAGTAATTCAGAAGTAGTTGTCACGCGATGCTGCACTCAGACGAGTTTCTCTTGAGAATATTACTAATTACTGAGTAATCAGGACGTTGGTAATATCCGAAGGAGGAATGTAGACTCTGGGAACTTTTAGAAACTTGTTTTACAGGTGTGATTAAACCTGTAGTACATACCTTTGGGATGGTCTTTACCTTTGACTCCATGCTCGTGATATTGAACCTTTCGACTTTGTTTGTGACCTTGCTTGTGGTTGTTGCATAGCCATGCCTTCACGCATCCATGAAACCCTTTTCACTTATTTTTCAAGGAATTTGGAAGTCTTTCTTTGTAAACGTCACAAGTTTCGTCAAACTCAATGGATCTTGGGTGTTGATGGGGTGAAAACTCTAATCCACCAAAATGGATGATTGATCTTGATGATAACTTGATCAACGCTTTGATCCAATTTAAAATTAATCTTCTATCTTCATACTTTGATGTTTACAACTTAATATTTTGAGTTCCTTGAAAGTCAAATAAAAACTCTCTTTTGCATATCATGCATCATTCTACATTTTTGTTTCACTTTCAAAGGTCATTTCCAAGTGTTATTTTTCCTTTGGTCTAACATAGTACAACACTCGCGCTAAGAGAACAATGGAGAATATCAAGCAAGAGGTTTCTGAACTCTGTAAGGAGATGATTACTTTGAAAGATAGTATGGAACACTTAATTGGTTTGGTTGATATTTTGGTTGCCTCCCAAGATAATCTTTCTAGGAAGGAAGAAGCAGTGGTAAAGGTCCTCACTGAAACTCTGAAATCATTCTTTCATGAGAAGATGATAATTAATGCACCTGGTGACTTTCTTGACAAGGTGAATATGGGAGTGTGTCTAGAAGAAGATGTCTGAAAGGGATGTTTATATGAAGATGGTGACTCAGCTAGTGGTGTGAAGAAGTTTGATAATAACTTTTCTAAGAAGAGAGCCAAAGGAAGAAATAGTCATTTCCAGAATCATCATGTTTCTCCTATCATCCTTGTGTTAAATTTACCTTCTGCAGCTTCAGTTTATCAACAGAATCAACAAGTTCCTAATCATAGGAAATCACGATTTGATCCAATTCTAACAACCTATACAAATTTATTTCCTATCCTGATGCAGAGGAATTTGGTTCAGATCCGACCTCCATCGAAGATTCCTGAGAAGATGCGTTAGTACTACAAAGCTGATTTGACTTGTGCCTTTCATCAAGGAGCACCTGGGCATAGTATCAAACATTGTTATTCATTGAAGAGCTGAAGTCCAAAAATTGGTCAGAAATGGTACCTTGTTATTTAAGGATATTAGTCTTGAGGTTCAAGTCAAATATTTGCCAAAGAATAAACATGATTGAAGGATACCTTGGAGTTTAAAGAAGAGAGTCTTCTCAGTTTAATTAGAATTTTCTTGCTTGTTCATTTGTAATTTTTCTTGTTTATCATTGCACTGTTTGCATGTAAGAACTTGTTTGCATTTGAATGATTATCTTAATACAATGATTATATTTGTCTTGAAGAAATTCATTCGTTTCACTCGTATTTGTTTTCAAATTTTAAATTGCTTTTTGCATTATGATACCAACTTTTTGCCCATTCTCTTGCCTAGGCAGAGATTGAAGGGAGGATGATCATTTGAAAAACACAAAAATCTCTGGTTGTATGCTTTTTGAATAAAATCTTGTTGACGATGTACAAGCATTGTTTCAAATCCCTAAACACCAGAGATATAAGGAAGATAATCATTTGATAACCCTTTTTGAGCCTTGAAGTAGGAGTTTCTTTTCTATACGAAAAAACCCTCAAATTTTAACCTAGGGCAGGGTAGTTTTCAGTTAATCTGATTGAGTGTTCAAAATTCATAAGGAAGATATTTATGAAGAGAAACTGTGAGGGATATCCTTCATGTATAATGAAGCCAGAAGATGTGGAACCATAATGTTATCCCCTGTTCATCAAGAAAAGAGGCAGTCACAATCCTCTCAACAAGTAAAGACAAGCTAATGTCACACATTTTGTTCAAAAAAAAATCAAGAAAAAAAAAGAAAAAGCCTGCTAAGTCAAAAACATGAAAATGTGCGACTTAGGCAAAATTAGGGCATCCCGCTGGACTATCAATTCAAAAGAATTAGTTCAGGCAAAAGTTAGGGAAAACAAAAATTACAAAGAAAGGAATACAGACAAAAGTCCTCAGCAAAGAACAAATCAGTGTGACTACAAACACGAAGACGTAAGGGTGGTTTCTACTCCAAAAGCCTCGTCATTTCCTTAACCGTCACAAAATCCTTTTGAGAGATGAACACTCATGTTTAGTTAACAGAAAATAGGGTTGGATAACATCACGAAGAATGGGTGGTCACCTATAAATTTTGAGCCTTAAAAATCTTTTTTTCTAAAAACCATGAACCAGGCCATGTTACAACCTTCAAAAGTCCTAATTGAAGCAAGGTTATTTTGAAAGCATACTTCAATGAGATAGTGTTCCTGAATCCCATGAATGTTTGCTAAATAGTTATGTTGGTATCATATGCTTTTTCTATACAAAAATAAATGGTGCCCTAACTCGGGAAATTTGTGCGATATCTTTTCAAAGTCTTCAAGACTTACATAACTGTTGCATTAGAATTTTCATTCTCATAATAAACCTTTTCTAATTGCAAAACATTTGTTGGATATCAATGAAGCTCACATATAAACACTAGTGATGAGTTTATTATTTTAAGGCTCGAAACTCTATTGAGTAATTGGCGAATCATTTCAAGAAAAATCATATCCAGGGGCATGTCACATGAAGACCTTAAGCATAGACATGTTGCTTCTCCCAGTTAATGCTTTCCCAACTTGTTTACCCTTTTGGGGGAAAATTTGAAGACTTTGTTGTGCCAAGTACAGTCAATCCGGGGAAATCACGTCGAGATTCGACGAATCTCTCTAAGAGTTTGAAGAAACTAGAGCATGGTGGATGCCAGGTCTTTTGTAAAATCCTCTTGAGACGATTTCTTCTTATCAACCATATAGCTTGGGGAATTTTAGAAGTGAAGTTATTCGCAAGAATTGTCATGCATCATGCAGCTTATCAGTAGTAAACTTGGGGCATCCAAAAATTAATCCCAGGGGAAGTCCAGATTTGTCAAGATATGTGATATGTTTTGCACACATTATCATAGGGTGGTGTTCCCAGTATCTCCAGCTAAGCAATATTTTTTTCCAGCTGAAGCATTGTTCGTATTGTTATCCTTTCGATGGATTGTTGACGATAGAAGATCGGACTTTGGGTTTTCTACCAGAAGATATCTTCCTCCCCAGAAAGATTAAAGCCTTATAGCAGAAATATGCTCCGCTGATAGCTTTTATTCTATCATCAGTAATGTTCTTATCTTGTTGAGGTTAGCCGAGTATCAGGTTGTGCTGTGATGTCTTATCGTCTTCAGTCTATCTCATCTATCTATTTTGTCAACATATACATGTCATTCATTTATTCATTCACACTTGCATCATGCACATGCATTGATATTTGTTAATGTTCTTGATTCGTATACTTTGGTTATCGTATTTCCTCTTCTCAAATAAAGTGTCAACTTAAGAATAAAGTGTCTCCTTTCTAAACTGAGTTTATTCCTCGTGGAAGAGTTGTTGCTTTAGCCTTCCTTTTTGTCTCAGGATAGGATAAGTCTCGGTTGTGTTTATTCCTCATCTGGCAGGGTCTTGTTTGATTGTTTCTCTCCATTTTGTTCTTGGATTGAGTTTCGTCTATTACAAATGTTTCTTTGTGAATCTCTCTAAGCTGTGAAACCTTGATGAAGAGTGCATTGATCTTGCATATGTAAATACTTGGTCTCCTCAGGAAGGATTTATTCATGGTTCCCCATTGAAGATGAACTTTATTCCCTAGTAGTGTTATCATAACATTCTTCTGGAATATCGACGTGACGACAAGTGCCTGACTCTTTATTTGAGCAGTTAGATTATCTTTAAACTTCTTTATCTTATAACAAATTGAGGTCTCTTCATGAGCCGTTTGTCCATCCCCGATGAAATTATTGATTCTCACCTTCAACAATATCTTCACGATATTTTATTGACACCTTTGAAAAAAACAGCAAGCGGTGGTCTCTTCATGAGCAACTTGTGTGTTATTGTTACCTTTGAAAAAACAGTAAGAGGCGGTCTCTTCATGAGCAAATTGTGTGTTATTGTTACCTTTGAAAAATTAGCAAGTGGCGGTCTCTTCATGAGCAACTTGTATGTTATTGTTATCTTTGAAAAACAGCAAGCGGCGGTCTCTTCATGAGCAACTTGTATGTTATTGTTATCTTTGAAAAACAACAAGCAGCGGTCTCTTCATGAGCAACTTGTATGTTATTTATACCTTTGAAAAAACAGCAAGCGACGATCTCTTCATGAGCAACTTGTGTGTTATTGTTACCTTTGAAAAAACAGCAATCGGCGGTCTCTTCATGAGCAACTTGTGTGTTATTGTTACCTTTGAAAAAAACAGCAAGCAGCGGTCTTTTCATGAGCAACTTGTATGTTATTGATGCCTTTGAAAAAAAAAAAGCAAGCGACGGTCTCTTCTTGAGCAACTTGTGTGTTATTGTTATCTTTGAAAAAACATCAAGCGGCGGTCTCTTCATGAGCAACTTGTATGTTATTGATTCCTTGGAAAAATAGCAAGCGATAGTCTCTTCATGAGCAACTTGCGTATTATTTTGAAGACAGCAAGCGGTGACTCTTCATGAGCAACTTGTGTATTATTGATATCCCTTGAAGACAGCAAGTGACGACATCTTTATTTGAGCAACTTTTGTATCCCTAACAATATGATATCTCAGCAGCAAATGGTATCTCTCCGAAAAAGACCCGCAGAGAAGTTTGTTATAAAACCCCTATCTTCAGTAAAAATTGGTAGTTCACTATCAGAAAAAGTTAGTGTATCTTTTGTCTACCTTTGAACCTGAGTTGTAAACTCACCATCATCTTGGGTCAATAACCATCCATGTTTTCGCAGCCTATGCAAGGCGTCTTCTCTGATAAAGAGTAATTTTTTCTTCTCTCGAAGTTGTACCCCAATAAGAGTCTCAACCGAAGTTTGTAGCTCTGTTCCCCAGTGGAGTTATAATCTCTTCCCCTGTGGAATTACTATATAATATGCTTGGTTTCTCCAGAAGTAGTTTGTCTCATACGGCATCATTCCACATTAAATTGAAAATATTACATTCATATCAGATCATAAACATAATTGCGGTATCTTAAGGCCAAAAATTGTGTATTCTATATTTAAGTCCCTTCAATCTCGTCGAAATGAAGATTCGAATCTTCATATCTCCGGATAGAAGAAACTTAAATAGGGGCAGCTGTCATACCCCAATTTTTGACCTAAGATCCCATTTTTATTTTTTTTCATTTTTGTACAGAAGTCAAGGTCACTAAATACAGTCGGTTTTAACCTCTAACCTTCGAGCATTGACTATGCAGAAATTATCAAGTATTTTGAACATTTTTAGCCTATGTATCACTAACTTCTAATTTCATATAAAGGTGTATGTTCGTTTTTTATTTTGTTTCATGTGCAGAGACAGGTCTGAATCAAGATCATCAGGCGTCGTGACTCAATTAGAGTTTTGAGTCTCCCAAGCCAGAAGTACGATTGATTATGGATTTCGAAGATTGATTCATCAAGGCACAACCTCTAATCTCAGAGCATAGACTCTCAAGCATCATTTGATCTAATTTTGATCAAATATGTCTTATAGAATTTCAGAGGATCGAGTATTTATTTCCATGCCTTGTTCGAGAAGTGGTTTTTAAGCTACCCAAGATAATGTTAAGACGCGGATCACCATTCAACCACTTGAGGGTGTTTTTGTAATTAATTTTGTAAACCATGGTCACCATTTAGAAAAGATGTTTGAGATATTTTTGTGATAATAGTAGCTACATATGCTAATTTTAAAGCTTCTCGGAGTTTTCTTTAGATTTCCTTGGTATTTTGGAAGTGGCTACATATGTGTACTAGAGTCAGCCATTTCATGGTCCTTGATTTGATTGAATTTGGAGTTCAACAATACAAAGAATAGATCTTTTGTGCTGATTGTGATTCAATACAGATATTCACACCAGATCAAAATTAAAACTACTAAGGCTTTTCCACCGATTGACAATAGGTAAACCTCCTTTATGATTCGCCTTCAACTAGCAATAACAACGAGAACCAATGGTTGATGTTCATGACCAAGTTTGGAATTTTGGCTGGAAATAACTTCGTAAAATTACCTAGAAAGCTTGAGATTTATAATCATGCAATTACTAACACAACAAAAGTACTTGAGAAAAAGAAAACAGATATTACAAAATTCAACACTTGAGTGAAACTTAAAGGTATGATCTATGTCGTCAACTATCAAATAAAGTTTGGCAGTTTTATTGTCCAAAGGTCCTTCTTCTTAGAATACAGTTTCTGTAATGAAGACTACTCCTTGCTCCAATAGTCCTTTACAGTCCTAAAACTATGTAAGATCTGTCCACAACCAACCTATGTTGCAGCATTCAAACTAATCCAGCTATGCTATCCCAATTTTGCACAAGAATGGAAAGCTTCAGCCTGCACCAAAAAGCAATAAAACAGTTATAATAAAACCAACTTTCACATCCAATTCCCCCTACCCCAATTTACTCATTTTCATTCACGATAAATACATAAAATAGAGGGAGAGAGAAGGAGATACAGCAACAAATATATACAAGAACAAAGGGGAAAATTATGTGATACCTCCAAAAAACTATCACTGCAATCTCCTCAACAAATGTTGTCAAGGTCATTTTTCGCAATGGATATTTATGCAAAGCTTGTATTCTCAATCTTGGAGGGATCAAGAAAACCTTTTCTTCTCTCCAAGACTCTAGTAGTTACTGTCATATTTATTGTAAAAGATGCAGAGGAGAAGAAGATGTTGACTGGATTTTCCAATGCATTTCATGCTCTCCAGCCCCTCAAAGCTCCTGGATTCAATTTTTCTTGGCTTGAGTTGGATAGTCACGGGATCTTCATGCCAAAAATGTTGATTGGTAATTTTCAAAAGACTACAACAAATGCAACAACACCAGCAGATGTAATCGCAACAGCAACAACTTCCACAACTATAACAACAGCAGCTTTCCTAGCTTCAACACCAGATTCCACAAATCTAGCAGCATCACCAGCCTTTGTCTCTCAAACAACAGACAGAAAAATATCAAAAAAAGAGTTCATGATAAAAATCAGTGGAGAGGAAAAGAGTGTTATCAGGAAGCTCATTATCATCTCAGAAAATGTTCAAATACTTACTTCTTTGAAGCCTCATCGGAAGGACTCCGACTCGGTAAAATTTTACTTTTTCCTTTGATTTTATTCCCTGTACTGCATCCGTAATTCTAGATTTTTTCCCAAACCTTTTCCACTGTCACCGAGAGAAGAGGATTTGTTTTTGTTGTTTTATGTTCGAGATTCGTTTCCTCTTCCCATTAATTCATCCGGGAGTACTCCTTCCGTTTCTCCATAGACAACCCATTAACACAACCAACCGATAACAATCATCCACTTTTAAACCCAACCTCTTCGACTTCCATCACCCCAAATCATTGACAATCTCCCTTTCAACAATACTTACAGCTACACCTCTCTCCCCGCCAATAATCTCCTCCACCATTAACCTGCAGTTACAAAGAAGCATCATATTCATCAACATCTATGATTCCTGATCCAACCTCAAGCCCTCACATAAACATATAATGAAGAAAGAGATGGAGTAGAGCGAATAGGAATAAGATAAATAAAGAATCAATACGCATACCTGAAGTTGTATCTCGCTGACGCTGGAATCGGATCGTCGGACTAGCTCTGGCTTGGAATTTTCTTTTGCTCATTTTCTTTACCTAAATCTTTATACCATTTTGTTGCTCTTGAGTTGCTGAATCAAACCCCTTTACTTTTTTTTGGGATTCCCTTTTCATGAGGCATTTGGTTTGAGATTTAGGGTTCCATATTCTACCCTCCGATCTGTGTATTTAAGAGTGTTTCATGAGAAATTGGTAAGAGAATGAGAGAGAAGGAAATGTGAGAGTGAGAAGTGATGATTTGAAATAGAGAAATAGAGGGAGAGATTTCGAAGAACAGATGGATCATTTGTTGAGCATTCCTTTTTTCTCTTTCACGTTCAGGCAATAAAAGAGGTGTTGTGCGTCATTTTGAATTTAGGATTCTGATAACCCGTGAATGTTTGGCAGAGTGGGTTGAATCTGGACCCAACCCGGTCCGACCCAACAAGAGATTTTTTTTTGTTATTTGTTCTTGTAGCATTTGAGCTTTAACATCAATTCTAACAGTCCAGTCCTGAATTTCCTGATACTCATCCCCCAATTTTTAGTTTCACTCCTCTTTCATAAATAATTTAGTTTAAATTTAGATTAGTAATCTTAAAATTAATTTAGTTTTGTTTTAAGTTAGTATTTTTATTATTAATATAGGTCAGATTAAATTAGTAGCTTTATAATTAATTTAGTTTACACTTAAATTAGTTTAAATGTAATGTTAGCAATTTTTTAGGATTAATTTAGTTTAGATTAGTATTTTTATAATAGTTTAAATAAAAATCAGAATTTTATAATTAACTTAGTTTACATTTAAATTAGTTTAGATATAATTTAGAAATTTTATAGCTTTAATAACTTTAGAATTTCTACTTAGATTTAATTTAATAACTTTAGAATTTCTATTTAGATTTAATTTAGTAATTTTAAAATTTTATTTGATTTAGATTTAGTTTAGTAACTTTGGAATTTTTATTTGTTTTAGATTTAACTTAGTAACCTTATAATTTTAATTTAGTTTAGAATTAATTTACTAATATTAAATTTTTAATTTAGTTTAGATCTAATTTAGTAATTTTATAACCTTAAAATTTGTAATTAGTTTAGGATTATTTTAGTAAGTAATCTTAGAATTTTAACTTAGATAATTAGTTCCATTCTCTTCTATTTATATTTAAATATCTTCGTCCTTTTAATTTCTCGATACCTTTTAGTCATTAATCTATTTCTTTGTATTTATTTTCTTGTGAATTTTTCGAATACTTATATTTTGATGTCCATTTTACTTCATTCGCTTGATTTATTCAAAGGGAAAGAATCAGTTTGTTGACTTCATGTCATCAAATATGATTGTGCGAATCCCTTCATTCATTTTTATTTTACTATTTTGTTAATCTTAAGTTAATTTTCCTACCAATCAATTTTTAACCTCACACACTTTTTTTAAGCCAAAACTTCGACACTAGGTCGTCGTATCTTCAAAATCTCGTCCACACCCATTTTGACCAAACAAACCATTTTAATCAACTATATTTTTTTTAACCAAGAAGCAGATATTTCAAAAGGTTTCTGTGGAGTACCGTAGATGCATTGGTTGCTAATACCTTCCTATTGCATAACCAACCCCAGAACTCTAGATCTCTTTTCGAAAATGCATTGTATTTTCATTACTTTTAAGTATTTTACATTGCATATTTTAGGGTTTTATTTCGCTCTTTTCCCTTTTCCCTTGGAAATGATAAAGCGCGGTGGCGACTCTTTCTTTTGCGAGTCGAGTCAATTAATAGCTCGATCTCCAATTTTCACTGCTACAAGGTGCAGTATCGGGTTTGTGATCCCAGTGTCCCCAGTCAATTGTTGGTTCATTTTCTGATTTTTGGGTTCGCTTGGTTGGAGGTCTCTATTCCGGATTCCCCAACAAAGTCTTCTCTCATATGACGAAAGGTCTTGTCCCCTTGGTGTGCTGAGATGGACTTATTCGCAAAATGTTGCTCTTTTTGGCATTATTATTGGTATTTATTTCCCGGGTAACTGGACCAGGGCAATATATTTTCTAAGAAGTGTTGAGACAGTTGTCAACCCTTTGGGTTTTCACCCGCCAAGTGTTGGGTTTGATTTAAAATCCCCAAGAGTTTGACCTCTTTCTATATGTTTATTTCTTGATTCCCCAGGAAAGTTATCCCAGGGCATCTTTTATTGGAATTGGTTTGTGTGATATGAAGACTCAATCCGAGATTTCCCAGTGAAGGCCTCGCTTATTTGATAGAAGTCTTTTCTCCTCGTGCATGCTGAGTTGGACTCATTTGCGAAGCATCTCCCTCTCGGCAGTACTTGCATTTTCTTTGATTGCCCGATAATCAGGAAAGGGTAATGTTTTATTTAAGAAGTGTTGGATTAGTTATCAACTTTTTGGGTTTTCCCCCGCCAAGTGCTGGGTTTGATTTAAAATCCCCATAAGATTGATTTCTTGCTGTTATGTTTGACTTGTTAACTCTCTAAGTTGTTATACCCATGAGGTTTCATACTTTTTCTCCAGAGATGTTGATGCAGTACTTACTCTCAATATTGAAGAACGTATCTTTGGTTTCCCCAATGAAGAACATATCTTGGTTTCCTCTCTCCGATGTGGTGTTGGCCTCCCCAATGAAGTTAGTACGAGGTCCCCAGCTGATGTCTCGATGATGAGGCGCTATCTCCCCATGTGAGGTTTGTATGATGTTTCTCCAATGAAGTCAACTCGAGATCCTCAGTTTATGTTTTGACGATATGGTTTTCATCTGCCTTATTGAGATCAGTATTGCAATCCCCAGTAGAAGTACGAACCGTGAAAGCATTTATTTTCCCAGTGAAGTCTGAGTGTTATTCCCCGGTGGAGCCTGGATAAGGATGTTATATCCTTGTATCTCTATTGTTTTTATCGATATGATTTGTTCACTACCGGATTATGTTCCTTCCCAGTGAAGTTAAACTGCGAAATAGGATCCTGTTTCCTCGTTTAGTGCTTATTTTCTTATGAATGTTCATTTTGGATGTGATTTAGCCGAGTATTGATTGTGCCCGAGTTGGTTTTTCCTGTTTACTCCCAGTGTTATATGTTTGTTTTGTCAGCATATACATGATAACACTCATACATTCATACACACATCATGCATAGTTGAATTTAGAAAATCATTTCTCATTAACATTCGTTAATATTTTTGTTGACATATTACCCTGTTTTGCAGAGTTGTGTTTACCTCTCTTCAATAGAGTGTCGGCCTTAAGAAGAAAGTGTATATTCTTATTCCCCACTGAGTTATCCCTCGTGGAAGATTTTTTCTATATCCTTCATGTACAACTCTTTGTCTGGATAGATTGGGTTTCCCTCTTGAGTTTATTTCTCAAAGGATGTATTTTGGTTGACTGTTCCACTCAAGTTTATTTCTGGTTTGAATCTTTGTTTCCCAGCAATATTATTACTTTGGATTTCTGCAAGCTTCGAGCATTTGGTTTGAGAATGTGCATTTATTTTGCACGAGAAGACATTATCTCCTCAACAAAAATATTGGCATTTCCCCAGGAAGTCATATTTCTTTCCCTATGAAGTCATATTTCATTCCCCAGGAAGTCATATTTCTTTCCCCAGGAAGCCATATTGTTTTCCCCAGAAAGTCATTTTTACAGTCCTTCCTATAACAGCAAGTAGCAGGTCTCTTTATTTGAGCAACTTGTACTTCCTTGTAAAAGTCGATGTTACTTTTTCGCTATCTTCTCTATGAGTGAATAGTTTGCAGTTTGTTGTCAAATTACTCCAGTGGATGACAAGTCTTTTTGATATGAAATGGATGGTTCGTTAAGAAATCTTTGTAAGTGGTAGTCTCTTTATTTGAGACAACTTATACATTTCCCTTTCCAGGAAGAATGCCTTGGTTAAAGAAGAAGTTGAAACCCGTTCTAGGTGAAACGCCAGAATTTTGGGAAAAACTTGTTATCTTTTTGCTACCCTCAGTGAACATTGGTAGTTTATCGCTAGTGAACGACGGTGCTATGATATTTCTTTTCTCTTTACCTTCAGTGAAAGTTGGTAGGTCACCTTCAGTGAAAGTTGGTGATTGTTATCTTTTTGCTACCCTCAGTGAACGTTGGTAGTTCATCGCCAGTGAACGGTGCATAGGACCTTGTCCAACATAGGACCTTGCAGTGCTACAGATGGCGCATATGCGCCAAAGAATAATGTTATGTACTTTCTGACCCTGCATCCAAGGAATGGATTTTGCTGGGATAGAGAGACTTTGGGCCAAGAAGATGATGTACCCATACTTCTAGGGATATAGCCAATAGGCTGGGATGACGAAGACAGTGACCATGTCTGAATCTTCCTTCTTCGAAAATATTTCGGCCTATTTGGCTGAAAATAGACTAAAAACGGCTTTAGAAGCCGAAGTAAAGATTATGGCTATAAAGGCCAATGAAGAAACAAATCATGCAAAAGGACCTGGGATTTTCTTCAAGCCAAAAACCCCTAACAAAGAGAAGCCCATCGAAGAAAAAGACCAAA